ATAGCTATGGGACAGACTTAGTAGACTTCTTAGGGGAGGCTTTACCCTCTCCGAGGAGCAAATGGGAGGTGGGGGGGCAAAGTGGGGAAATAGGGAAGAGAGGAGGGAGGGGGAAGTGGGATTGGAATATAAAAAATAGATTAATAAAAATGTTAAAAAACAAAATCAGAAACCATAATATATAATCAAAAGAATTGTAAGGTTAAAAAATCCAGACACAGTATTATGCTGCCCTAATTATTATGATAGAACCTACATGCAGTCACTGATGGAAGCAGATGCAATGACCCACAGCCAAGCCCTGGGTTGAACTACTGGAGTTCAGCTGAAGAGAGGGAGGAGGGATCATATGAACAAGGTGGGGGGTCGAGATCATGATGGGGCAAACCACAGAGACAGCCCACCCAAGCTAGTGGTGGGAGCTCAGGGACTATGGACTGTCAGCTGGGGAACCTGCATGGGACCAAACTAGACCCTCTGAATGTGGGTGACCAAACTAGACCCTCTGAATGCGGGTGACCAAACTAGACCCTCTGAATGCGGGTGACAGTTATGGGGCTTGGTCTGCTTGAGGGTTCCCGGCAGTGGGAATAGGACTTATCCTGGTTGCATGAACTGGCTTTTTGGAACCCATTTCCTATGGTGGAATTCCCTCGCTCAGCCTTGATTTAAGGGTGAGGGACTTGGTCCCGTGTCAACCTGGTATGCCATACTTGGTTGACTCTCCAAAGGAGACCTTACCCCCTTTGAGGAGTTAATGGCAGAGGTGAGGGGTAAGAGCAAGGGAGGCAGGGAGAGCTAGAGGGTTTGGTATGTAAAATGAGAAAAATTTAAATAAAAATGAACAACAACAAAAACTCCCAAAATACCAGTGAGTTTATTTTGTGTTGGCCATATGCTGCTGGGCATAGGGCCTGCCCTTAAGTGTGGTTTGTGTAACCAGGGAGATTCCATGGAGAAAGTTAATATTCCCTAGCAATCAGTTGTCAATTGGAGATAGCCTATGGGTTAGGGATGGAGGCTCATGCTCCCTTCTTCTCTCAGAACTGACCCCATCTTCTTTGGACCCGAGCTATCCCTGTGCGTGCTGCAAGTCTCTGTGAGTTCATATGCTTACCAGTCCTGTCTTGCCTAGAAGACCTTGTTTCTTTGGTCCTTCATCCCCATTGACTCTTACAATCTGTCCACCTCCTCTTCTACAGTCCCCCGAGCACCAAGGGAGGGCTTGTAGCTGGGTTGGTGTTTACCTTTCTCTTCTGGTATGTACAGAACACCTTCTGCTAGCATGAATACTAGTCAGTAGGATGAAGGCTCTGGTTACTCACCAGCTTGACTTCTCCATGTTTGGTGAATTATGTGGGTGTTGTCTTTGGCAACAGTTTGTGGAGATCAACTAAAATCTTTGGCAATGCCCTGAGTTGCTTAGGGGTTTCCATGGGATCCTTCAGGCCAACGACTCAATTAGATGTAATCTATTCTTACAACTGGAGGTTTCACTTGGTGGCGAGTGATGTCTACTGGGACTGTGTCTCCCCTGTTATTTGGTGATTCCATTTAAATTTCATTCATATTTGCATGTATTTTAAGAAGCTGCTACTGTGGTATGTTTCCATGTGACCCCTCAATGGTCCCTAGCTTTACTATCCTTCCCCACATTTCCTGTCTTCCCTCCCTCTTCCCTTCCCCTCTCTTATTTTTCCACTCCAGTCTCCCTCGTCCCATGCATCCATAATGTACATCCCAGTTCCCTTTCCTAGGGAGAACCTTCCCTCCTTTCAGTGTCTTACTCTTTAACAAATATTTGTGGATTATATAGCCTGCTTACCAAAGATTTAACAGCTAACTTCCACACGTAAGTGAATACATGTCATATTTGCCTTTTTGGGTCTGGGTTACCTCACTCAGGTTGGTTTTTTTTTTCTAGTTCTATCCAGTTACCTGGAAATTTCACGATTTTGATTTTTAATAGCTGAGTAGTATTCCATTGTATAAATATACCACATTTTCATTATCTATTCTTCTGTTGTTGTTTCCAATTTTTAGCTATTATGAACAGAGCAACAATAAACATCGTTGAGTAAGTGTCACCATAGTAGGCCAAACATTCCCATTTTGAATCTTAATATTTGTTTTCTTCACATCCAGTGTTTTTGAGTTCTTTATATATTTTATTACCTCTCTATCAGATGTACAATTTGTAAAAATTTATTTCCATTCTGTAGGCTGTCACACTGTATCCCTTGCCATGCTGTAGATTTTCAGTTTCACAAGGTTCTATTTATTAATTGTTCCTAGTGCCTGTGCTATCGGTGTTCTGTTCAGAAAGTCTTGCACGGTGGCAATGAGTTCAATACTATTAACCATTTGTTCTTCTATTAGATTAAGTGTGTCTGGCCTTAAGTTGGAGTGTTTGGTGCATTTGGAATTGAGTTTTGTGCATTGAGGTGTGGATTTATTTGCATTCTTCAACGTGCTGGCATTTAGTTTGACCACCACACTTTTTTGAAGACGTTGTCTGTTTTTCCAGTGTGAATTTCTGGCTTCTTTGTCCACAGCCATGTGTCCATAGATGTGTGGGCTTATATCTGAGATTTCAATTTATTTCTATTGATCAAGGGATCTGTTTTTATGCCAGTACCATACTGATTTTATTACTGTAGTTCTGTAGCACAATTTGAGATTGGTAGTGGTGACAGCTCCAGCAGTTCTTTTATTATTCAGGATCGTTTTAGTTATACTGTTTTTATTTTCACAATTCACACTTTAAAAAATCCTGCCTACTGAACCTTCATTCAGTGGCTGATGGAAGAAGAGGCTAAGCACTGAGCTGAACACAAGAAATCCAGTGACAGGGAGGGAGGACTGATGACCAAAGGCATTAAGACTGGGCTGGTTTAACCCCCAGAAACAGCTGACCTGACAAGGGTTAGCTCTTGAATCCCAGACTGATGCCTGGGAATCCAGCATGGGACTGATCAAGACCCCCTGTATGTGGGTGTTAGTGAGGAGGCCTAGGTAATCTATTGAGCCTTGGGTAGTAGATCAGTATTTATCCCAGGTATACAAATGGACTTTGGACTCCCATCCAACAATGAGAGATGCACTCTCACCCTGAACTCTTGGGGGAGGGTCTAGGCCCTGCCCTGGATGAAATGACAGACTATGGACACCCCCATGGAGGGCCTCACCCTCCCTGGGGAAATGAGGGGATATTGGAGGGGGATTGGTGGGAAGGCACGGGAGGAGAGGAGGGAAACGGAGAGGGACCTGGAATTGACATGTGAAGCGACTTTGTTTCTAATTTAAATTTAAAATAAAAATATCTAAAAAAACCTGCCTAATGTATTTTTTTATATTGTGCTATTTACTCTTTTCTTATATCTTTCTTGATTTTTAAAAATAATTCTTTTAATAATTCCATAGCTACGGTGAAAATTAAAGAATAACAAACAGGGAAAGAATAGCCTTAATCCCTCATTTTTTTTCTGAGACAGGGTTTCTCTGTGTAACAGCTCTCACTGTCCTGCAACTCACACTGTAGAACAGGCTGGCCTCAAACTTAGAGATCTGCCTGCTTCTTCCTCTCAGTTGCTGGGATTAATGGTGTGCACCACCACTGCCCAGCATCGCTTCAATTTATCTTTAAGCATCTCCCAGTTTTAGGAAGATTTTTCTGAAATTCCTTGTTCTAGGAACACAAGTTTACTTTCCTTCTGTACTCTCTACTCTGTTGACATCATATGAAAACTTTGGAAATGAAATTGCTTCCTAACATTGCATATAACACCTCTAGGAGCCTGTTGTGAACTGTATTTTATGTTTTGGTGGCAGACAGCAGAGGGTTAATAGTAAGGACAACCCAACTTGGAAAATGATCCTCCTACTGAATGCTGACTTTCTATCGGTGCTGATGTACCTGGGAGACTTTTTGATCTCCTCACTCTTATAGTCTTCCTGCCTCCTATCTTACCATGTTAATGTGCCCCAGGCCTTACGTGCAGGGGTGTTTTGTAGATGTGTCACTTGGGACGGTGATCCACAACTCTGAATTTTGATTGGTTATGGTTTTCTGTACTGGCCTCTGTGTGCTGCAAAGAGAAGTTTCCTGGATGAGGAGTGAGAACTACACTTATCTGTGTGTGTAGGACAAATCTTAACATTTTTGTTAGGTGGAGTTTCACAGGGCACACAAATGACATTTAAGGGCAGTCCCTTTGTGCAGCATTAGACACCCAATGCAAAATGAACTCATGGCGTTTTGGGAGGTTTCTTTATTTTTGGTGTCATAATGCTTTGTCTGGCCATTTTTAAAAAAATTATTTTCATTAGGCTTGTTATTTTTCTGTTTGTTTTGTCCTATTCATGATTCTTTGATTTTATTTTATCTTATTTGATTATTATTTTTTTAGATGCCTGCTTGTTTTTTAGTGAGAGCAAGAAAAGATGTGGATTTAAGTGGGTGGGGAACTGGAGAGGACATGGGAAGAGATGGGGGATGGACTCCATAATCAGAATATATTATGTGAATAAAATTTATTTTTAATAGAAAATATATTCTTCTCTCATACATTTCATCTGGACCAGTTTCCCCTTTCCACTCTTCCCAGTTCCGGCCATCACCCCTCTCTCCTAGGGTCCACTCCCCCTTTGCCTTCTTTTAGAAAAGAACAGACCTCAAAGAGACAACAACCAAACAGGATGGAACAAAGTATAATAAGACAAGGCACAAGCCCTCACACCGAGCCTGGACAAGGGGATCCAACAGGAGGAAAAGAGCCCAAGAGCAGGCAAAAGAGTCAAGGACACACCAACTAGCCATCTCACAAGAACACAAAGCTAATAGCCCCAGAACACACCCAGAGGATCTGCTGCAGTCCCATGTGGGTCTTGCTGCTTCAGTCTCTGGGAGCCTGTGCAAACCCTGCTTAGTTGATTCTGTGTTCTCCTGGAGTCCTCCATCCCCTGTGATGCCTGAAACCTTTCCTCTATCTCTTCTGTAGGATTCCCTGTCCTCCGAGGGGAGACCTCAAGTTTAGACTCTCTCCACATAATGTCTGGCTATGGATCTGCGTCTGACCCCATCTGTTGCTGGAGGAAGCCTCTGTGATGATGGCGAGAGAACATGCCAGTCTAAATCTGTGAGTATAGCAGAACATCACTAGGATACTTTTTAGACCAGTCATGTTTGGTTCTAACCTAGGTTTCCAGACTACCCAGTCTCTGGTCTCTGGCCTTCAAAGCATTGTTGAGCATGGACTACCTCTTGTGGAGTGGGCCTCAAGTTAAATCAGACATTGGTTGGTCACTCTCTCTAGTTCTGCATCGTCATTGTCCCATCACATCTTTAGGAAGGACAGATTGTAAGCCAAAGGCTTTGTGACTGTGCTGGTGTCCATGTTTCTCTTTCAGTAGCCTGCAGAGTACCTTCCTGAACCAAAGAGACAGAATGTAGGGATGAGGGCTCCATGCAGGCACCAGCTCAAATTCTCTGCATTCAATGAACTGTTTGGGAGTTGTCACTGGCAATGGGGTCCCTCAGGTTGCAGAGAACACCACTCTGTCCCAGCACCAGTCTTGGTTGTTTGGTGATCTCCACAGGACCCCCTTGGCTGACGACTCTATGGAATGCAACCCAGTTCCGCCAATGGGAGCCTTGCCTGGCTATAATAGATGGCCAGTTAAGACTCCCTATCTACCATTACTAGGAGTCCTCACTGGAATCACCATCGTAGATTCCAGGAAGTTTTCACTGCACTAGGTTTCCACCCCGTCTCCTAAATGCCTCTAATTCCAGTTGTTTGTCCCTACACTCTTTGCTTCCATCCCATCTATCCCCATAACCTGATCCATCCTGTTCCCATTTGCATTTGCTCCTGGTCCACACACAACATCTATTTCTCTTTTGCAGAAAGATCCATGTGATAACCCCTAGAGACTTCCTCTTGACCTAGCCTCTCTGGGTTTATGGATTGTTGATTGGTTGTAATTTACTTAACAGCTAATATTCAAGTATAAATGAATACATATCAGTTTGACTTTCAGGTTTTGGGATACCTTACTCAGGATGATTGCTTCCAGGTCTGTCCATTTGCCTGAAAATGCAATGATGTTATTTGAAAACATAGGTTTATTTATTTTACATCTCAACTGTAGTTCCCCTCCCTTCTTTCCTCCCGTTCCCTTCCCCCACTTCCCCTTGCAGCCCCCCAATCCACTGCTACTCTGTTTCTGTACATAAAGGGACAGACCTCCTATTGGTGTCAACAAAGCATAGTATATGAAGTTGCAGTAAGACTAAGTACCTTCCAATGTATTAATCCTGGGAAAGGCAACCCAGTATGAGGAATTGTGTTCTAAGAGCCAGCTGAAGTATTTGGGACAGTCTCTGCTCCCAGTGTTAGGAGTCCAACAAGTAGATCAAGCTACATAACAGTCACATATATATGTAGAGGGCCTAGGTTGGTCCCATGCAGGCTCCCAGGTTGCCTGTTCAGTCTCTGTGAGCTCCTATTAGCTCAACTTTCTGGGGGCTTCTTGTGATTTTCTTGACCCCTCTGACTCTTACAATCTTTTCTCCGTTTTTTCAGAGGATTCTCCAAACCCAGTCTAATGTTTTGCTGTGGTTCTCTGCATATGTTTTTAGCAGTTACTAGATGAAGGCTAACTGATGACAATTGGGATAGTCACCAGTCTATGAGTATAGCAGCATATCATTGGACATATTTTACATTGACATTTTTTCTCAATTATGTTTGGTTCTATCCTAGGACTTTGGGGCATCCAGCTTCTGAGTCCTACTCCAGGCAGTGTGAGGGGTGGGCTCACTCTTGTGCCATGGGTCTCAGGCTGGACCAGTCATTGGTTGGCCACTTTCACAGTTTCTTTGCCACTTCACCAACATAAGCTGTCCTTTGTATTTTTGAACTTAGCCATTCTTGCAGGTATAAGATGGAATCTTAGAATTGTTTTAATTTGCATTTCCCTAATGGATAAGGATGTTTAACATTTCTTAAGTATATCTCGGCCATTTGAGATTCTTATGTTGAAAATTATGTTTAGATCTGTACCCCATTCTAAAAATTATATTATTTGTTGCTTTGATGACTAGTTTCTTGATGTATTTATATATTTTGGAAATCATCCCTCTGTCAGATGTACAGTTGGTGAAGATCTTTTTTGACATGGGATAATGCTCTTGTGCACTGTAAAGTTTTGTTACTAGTATTGGTTTAGTAAAACATTGATTTGACAGTAGTCAGGCAGGAGGTATAGGTGGGGCTACCAGACTAGGAGAATTCTGGGAAGAGGAGGGAGAGAGTGAGTTGCAGCCAGTGGCAGATGAAGCAAGATGAGAATGCCTCACTGAGAAAAGGTACCAAACCACATGGCTAAACATAGATAAGAATTATGAGTTAATTTTAGTTGTAAAAGCTTGTTAGTAATAAGCCTGAATAATAGATCAACCAGTTTATAATTTTGTAAGCCTCTGTGTGTTTATTTGGGACTGAACACTGTGGGATCAGAAACTTCTGTCTATATGTCAATGTGGCTGGAGAATCCTGAGACTAAATACCAAGTCTGAGACTTTGCTCCTGTCTTATATACCTCTCTAATGCTGGGATTAAAGCTGTGTGAGCCCAGGTGCTGGGATCAAAAGCATGAGCTCTGTTACTCTTCACTCTTGTGTAGGCCATGTTGGCCTTGAACTAACAGAGATCAATCTACCTTTTATTCCTGAGTCCTTGGATTAAAGGTGTCTACCACCACTGCCTGATTTCTATAGGTCGAGGCTGACTTTGCTTTCTGAATACTCAGGCAAGCTTTAATAAACCATAAATAATATACTACCATACTTTTCCCATTCTGTAGGTTGCCATTTTTTCTTATTTACTATGTCCTTTGCATTACAGAAGCTTTTCAGTTTCAGTAGGTCCAATTTATTAATTGTTGATCTTAGTGCTGTGCTACTGGTGTTCTACTCAGGAAGTTGTTACCTGTACCAATGCATTTAAGGCTATTTCCCACTTTATCTTCTATCAGGATCACTGTAACTAGATTTATGTTGAAGTCGTTGATTCACTTGGTCTTGAGTTTTCTGCAAGGTGATAGATATGGATCTATTTACATCCTTCTATGTGCTGACATCCATTTATTCCAGCACCATTTGTTGAAGATGCTTTCTTTTTTCCATTGTCCAATTTTGGCTTATTTGTAAAAATCTGGTGTCCATAGGTATGTGGATGTATCTGGGTCTTTGATTTGATTAACTGATCCACCTATCTGTTTTTATGTTAATACCATTCTGTTTTTATTACTATAGCTATGTAGTAGAGCATGAAATCAGGGATGGTAATGCCTCCAGAAGTTCTATTATTGTACAGGATTGTTCTAGCTATCCTGTTTTATTCCATATGAAGTTGAGTATTGCTCTTTCAATATCTGTAAAGAATTATATTAGAATTTTAGTGGGGATTGTGTTGAACCTATAGATTACTTTTGGTAAGATGGACATTTTTACTATGTTAATCCTATTGATTCATGAGCATGGGAGATCTTTCCATCTTCTGATATCTTCTCCAATTTCTTTCCTTAAATACTTGAAGTTCTTGTTGTACAGGTCTTTCATTTGCTTGGTTTAAGTCACCCAAAGATATTTTATGGTGATTGTGAAGGGAATTGTTTCCCTGATTTCTTTCTCAGTCCTTTTATTGTTTGTATATAGGAGAGGTCTGAGTTAATCTGTGTCTAGCCACTTCATTAAAGGTGTTTATCAGCTGTAGGAGTTCCCTGATAAAAATTTTGGGGTCATTTATGAATACATTCATATAATATGCAAATAGCAATACTTTGACTTCTTCCTTTCCAATGTGCATTCCCTTGATCTGTTTTTGTTATCTTATTGTTCTAACTAGAACTTCAAGTACCATGTTGAATAGATACGGAGTGAGTGGAAAGCCTTGTATTGTTCCTGAATTTAGTGGAATTGCCATTTAATTTGATGTTGCCTGTCGACTTGCTGTATATTGATTTCATTATGTTTATGTATGTTTCTTGCATCCCTGATCACTTCAATACTTTTTTTTTTGGTGAAGGGGTATTAGATTTTGTCAAAGGATTTCTCAGTACCTAATGAAATGATCATGTTTTTTTTTTCTTTCAGCTTGTTTACATGGTGGATTACATTGACAGATTTTTGTTTGTTGAACCATCCCTACATCTCTGAGATGAAGTTCACTTGATCATGGTGCATGATCTTTTTGATATGCTCTTAGATTCCATTTGCGGTATTTTAATGAGTATTTTTGCATCAATGTTTGTGAGGGAATTCGGTCTGTAATTCCTTTTCTTTGTTGAGACTTTGTGTGGTCTGAATATCAGGGTGAATGTTGCCTCCTAAAATGAATTTGGTAATGTTCTTCTATTTGTATTTTGTGGAATGATTTGAAGAGTATTGACATTAGTTCTTCTTTGAATGCCTGGTAGAATTCTGCATTAAAACCATCTGTGCCTGGGCTGTTTTTGGTTGAGATTTTTAATGACTCCTATTTTGAGATATATTTACATTGTTTATCTGATCTTGATTTCATTTTGATATGTGGTATCTATAAAGAAATTTGTCCATTTCTTTACGATTTTCCCATTTTTGTGGAGCATAGGTTTTTAAAGTATGGCCTAATGATTCTCTGACTTTCTTCAGCATCTGTTTTTTGATGTCTAGTCATTTCATTTCTGACTTTATTAATTTGGATATTCTCTCTCTGCCTTTTAGATAGTTTAGGTAAGGGTTTGTCTATCTTGTTGATTTTCTCAAAGAACCAACTCCTCTTTTCATTGATTCTTTTGAATTAAACACTCTTGGTGTCCTAAGGGACATTTGTTTGTACTTTAATTGTATAGAATATAATGATTTGTGAAATTAAGTGTTTTGATATAATGTCAAACTTACAGGAAAGTTATAAGAAAAAGAACTTCCATATTACCCTAAGGGAGTTTTCTTTTGTAAAATTTAAATTAGAAATAAGCTTGCTTCACATGTCAACCCCAGCTCCCTCTCCCTCACCTCCTGGCCTGTCCCTCAGCCACCCCACCCCCCTACCCAATCCCCACTCTGTTCCCCACGGAGGGTGATACCCTCCAT